AGCTCTCAAGAAATGCTAGCTATTATTATTTGTCCATGTACAGAATCAGCACTTTGGCAGAAAGAATTTACTGTATTTATAATGGTCTAAAAAATCATGTTAGGTACTGAAAATACAAACTTAAGTAAGGCATACTTCTAATTGTAGAAATTTAAAATCAAATAAAGGAAAAATATTCATAATATGATTAACTATACTGGCTAGAATAAGATATAAATAGGGCCATAAAAATAGTATGAACAAAGTGCTCAGAGAAATAAGGAATTACTTGGGCTTGCCAATAAGGGGTATTCCTAGGAAAGTTCCAGGAGGAAGAACTTTGAAGCTAAATCTTGAAATCCAGCAGGACTCAATATCCTTTGAAAGGAAGACGAGCCTGAATTCCAAGCAGAAGAAATAAAGTGGATAGGCAATGATTACATGTAGAATTTTAATTACTGTAACAACCCACTATCCCTCCAATAAACACCTGCATGCAGCACCTTTCACCAGACAGCAGACTGGGTTTTGTACTGTTTCCTAATGTCACTGGCAGGTGGTACGCAGCCTAAGTCATTGGCTAGGTTGTGTTTTCTAACACTCTCAATAAACTTTTGGTAATTTAAACTAATAAATATAAATTACTCAATAGCCAAATCTACGTAAAAGCCTATAAAAAAAACTATAGTTNAGGCTAGAATTGGCTAGGTTGTGTTTTCTAACACTCTCAATAAACTTTTGGTAATTTAAACTAATAAATATAAATTACTCAATAGCCAAATCTACGTAAAAGCCTATAAAAAAAACTATAGTTCAATTCTAAGATAAATTATTAACTATGCTTATAATAATTTGTCAATTATCAAAGAAGTACTATTCCCTAGCAATTCATTAGTCAAACAGGAAGGTATTCTATGCCTCAGAGAATATCTTGGCCATCTTTTCCCAAACAACAGGAGGGCAAGGGGGGTATAAGATTATTCTAAGAAACGCAGTTAAATTTCTCTTTGCAGATCTACAAAACAACAACAAAATCCCCCTAATGCTCCTATACAATGATCCTGCCCCCCATAGGAAATAAATGGGATTAGCAGTTTATGACTGTCTGTTGTATTAAAGTTATACTAAAGTTTATCTAAAATTTATCCACAATTAAATCTTACATATTGCAACCAATGGAACAAGTAATGCTTACAAAGTTGCTGTAAGTTGTCAATTCCAAAATATGCTAACTTACAGTTTAGTATTGCTACTAAAAATAAGAAGAGTGCCCAGCCGGGCGTGGCTCAGTGGTTGAGCATCAGCCTAGGATCTAGGAGATCGTGGTTCGATTCCCAGTCAGGGCACATGCCCGGGTTGTGGGCTCGATCCCCAGGAGGGGGCGTGCATGAGGCAGCCGATCAATGACTCTCTCATCATTGATGTTTCTCTCTTTCTCTCCCTCTCTCTTTCTCTCTCTGAAATCAGTAAAGATATATTTAAAAATAAATAAATAAAAAGTGAAAATAAAAAGAGCCTGAACACAGACAGACCCACCTTCAAATAAGGTGTTCCATTTATGAGTGACCTTTTTATGGGGAATCATTTTTGCCTCAGAGGAAATAATAAAAAAGGACTTGGACATCATTATCCTTTGTAAAAGGACAAATCTCGTGTGCCCACTTTGACAAAAACGTTATTCAGATCTCCTGGGGTATTTGAAAGAAATCTCATAAGCAGAAGGCTGAAACAATGTAGCATGCAAACGTTAATACTATTTTTGGCACCCCCAATAAAATGAGTGGTCAAAGTATCTTGGTATTCTGACATTTGTGCTTTTTATTTTTAAAGAACCAAATTAAGCTAAATCCAAAGAATAAAGTCACTCCTGAGATTAGCATAGTTTAAGAAACCAGTATAAACTGCGGTGGAAGAAGGGTAGTTGGGTAAGTAAAGAGAGGATACAATAAAGGTTTAACCTATACTACCTGCTAAAGACTTACCTGCTTCAATTTAAGCAGAATATTAAATAACTTTTAAATATTTGTAATAAATGCCTGATAAACAGTACTAAAAATTCTAAATTAAAAAATGTTACTGTGATCCGTATTATTATTCACCAGTCCCTAATTAATTTATTCACTTTTTTGTAAAGGAAACTGTGAGAAGTATATACAGAGGGGAAAAGCTCTTCAAAAATTATATCCTCTGCCCAACAATTACTTCAGTGGAAATGACATACTGTTAGCTACAGCTACCTACATAACTGCACTACAAAATACATCTATCTTCCTTGGCATCATATTATAAAACTAAAAGCAGCTGTTCAGAAATTTGGCAGCCTAGTGACACCTTGTGACCAAACTGATCAAATACATGTCTTAAGATTTCAGAAAGCCAGAAACTCTTTCTTCTTAAAAATAGTTGGTTAAACATTTTTAAATCTTTGCCTCAAATATGTGTATATTTACTAATTTTTAAATTTCCCAAACAAGGGGAGGGCAAGGGGGGTGTAAGATTCCCCTTGTTTGGGAAAAGATGGCCAAGATATTCTCTGAGGCACAGAATACCTTCCTGTTTGACTAATGAACTGCTAAGGAGTAGTACTATAATACATATAAATAATGTTTACAATATATCCGTAGGTTTAGCATGTATGATGTACAGTCTAAGTAATAATAAAATTAACCCCTGGGTATCTCCCCACACCAGGTAAAGAAGAAACCTTTGTCAGGACCTTAGATGCCTCCGTGTCCTCAGCCTCAGAAGTAACCACCAGACAGACTTGTGTTAATCATTCTCTTTTCTTTACCACCCATGCAAGTATCAGTACAATACATAGTTTTGAAAAACAAGTAGCAAAAAGACAGTGTAAGGATAGGGCCACCAATTTTACCAGTTCCTCTAATCCCTCTGAAGAGGAACACTTCTTTCTGTCTCATTCTGATCCTGCAAAGGCCTAAACCAAGTTCCACCTCCTCCTCCAACTACTAAAGCTCACAAGGTTTCTCTTTTCTCTGAGCTAATTCACTTTCAGAAAACCCTACTGGTAAACTTTAATCGGTTAACAAATAATTAGAAATATACAACTGGTCCCCAAATGAATCTTAAAGTTTCATAGTATGTATCTCAGTTCCACTTTTTTCTAAAATAATTTGCTAATATTTTACATATGCAGTTAACGTTAATCTCTGAGTCTGTCAGATGGCCAAATGTCACCCATAGGCAAACATGGAAGAAAGCTAACCAGAGAGAGTTGGCAATGTGTTGACCACAGTGACATTCTGTACTGCTATGTGCTGGGAAAGTGGATTTGTGGATTATGTTACCTAGTTTTAACCAAACAAATCTTCATTCAAATGGGCAAAGTAATTTTAAAGGATTCCTACAAAAGAAATTATAAGTTAAAATATCACGAATAGCCCGGCCAGGCGGGCTAGGATCTGGATGATCGGGGTTCAGTTCTGGGTAAGGGCACATGCTCGGGTTGTGGGCTCAATCCCCAGTCGGGGGCGTGCAGCAGGGGGCAGCCAATGACCCTCTCATCATTGATGTTTCTATCTCTCTCTCCTTCTCCTTTCCTCTCTCTGAAATCAATAAAGATATATTTTTAAATATATATATATCACCAATATTATAAGCACAAAGAAAGGTAAGAGTTCAAGTTTCTCTCACTCAATGAGGTAAAAAACTTTACCAGCAGATCTACAAAAGGGTAGTGAAAACAAAATTCATAATTATCAAAACAACCTGTAAGTTTGTTCTCTATCAAAAAGAATAAACCCTGCCCTAAGTGTAAGTGCCCATTACTGTCCTACTACCTAACAATGTAGTACGTGTGTTCAATTTTTAAATAAACAAACATGCAAAACTCAAAATTTTTTACTAACAACATCCTCATAATAGGGACTATTATTTTAGAAACTCTAAAAGTGAGAGAAATGACATCATGTTAATTACCAATCTCTGACAAAATCCACATGTGTTTAAAACAGTTACTCTAAGCAGCAATATGTTTGAACACAAAATGAAGTAACAATACATGTACAGTTGAGCCTTAACAACTTGCATGGGGTAGGGGTGCTAACCCCTGAGGAGTCAAAAATCCACATATAACTTTTGACTCCCCAAAAATTTAACTACTAATACCCTACTGCTGACCAGAAGCCTTACTGATAACATAAAGTCTATTAACATATATTTTGTTATATGTATTATATACTGTATTCTTACAATAAAGTAAGCCAGAAAAAGAAAACGTTGTGAAGAAAGTCATAAGGAAGAAAAAATACACTTAGAGTATTTACTGAAAAAAAATCCACATATAAGTCGACCTGTGGAGTTCAGATGCAGAAGGTATGCTTTATGTAACAGAGAGAGGAAGAACAAGGTAACTTAGGTCCTATACAGAAGGACCTCTGTCATCCAGAAGAGCAGACAAATACACAAATAACATAAGTGTAGTAGCATTAGTACTGTCAACCAAGTATTTCAGGTTTCTTCTCCAGTACAGTCATGCTTAAACTCAAGGGAGGCTTTGTGACTTGCTCTGACCAATGAAACCTGAACCACGTCATTTCTAAGCAGAAACTGAAGAACCTCAGAGACCCCCTGCTCCTCTTCCCTTCACAAGTGACAGGCAATGCTGCAGATGGTGGCAGTGCCACTGGCCTGCCAGAGTGAGAATGAAGCAGCCTATGACTGACCTACAGCATGGTGAGAAATGAGCTCCTGTTCTGAGCCACTGAGGTTTGGGGTTGTTACCACAGTTTAGCCTAGCCTACCCAGGGTAAGGCAGCGTGAGGTAATTCTGATAGAGAACCATGGGAGCTCTAGGGAACAATATCACATTTCATTCAGCATCCGCTCAGTCTCGTCAAAGGGCATAAAATTTTAAAAGCCACTATCTTCCCCGTTCAGTCACTGATAACTTACAACTTTGCCTTGGCTATACTATTTTAAGTACCTTTCAAAAGGATTTTAAACTTTTACAAAAAACTTTTAAACAATATTCAAATTTTAGTTTATGTACAGAAACTTACCACTAAGTAATTCAATCCAGTTCTGGACTGTTTCTGGAGGCTGAGTCTCCTTCACATGCTTTAGAGCTTCATCAAGAAGAACATCCCCTGTTGGGGCATCGGACTTACAGATCACCTAAAATGTAAGCAATAAGAATTAAATGATCCACTGATTCCTTTTCTCTAACCTGATCTCTTTAAATGAAAAACTTAAACAATTATGCAAGTAATTCCCTATGGCTAAAGCCCTAAGAGTACATGCAGTATCAAAGTTCAGATTTTAAATTAATTCTGTATTAAGAAAATCCAATATTTAACCTAACCAGATTAGCTACAATCATGAATAAAAATAAGCTTAATTAGCCCTAGCCAGTTTGGCTCAATGGTTGGAGCGTCAGCCCTCGGACTGAAGGGTCAAGGGTTCAATTCCAGTCAGGGGCACATACCTAGTATCTCAGTTGCACGCTCGATCTTCCAGCCCAGTCGGGGCTCGTGCAGGAGGCAACCAATCGATGTAGCTCTCTCACATCGATGTTTCTCTCTCCCTCCCTTCCCCTTTCTCTAATAATGAAAATGTCTTCAGGTGAGGATTTCTAAAAAATTGAAATTATGGAACAAAACTTCATGAAGAAATGAAATATTGAAACAGAAGGACACAATATCCAGCTCTCTCTTTAAAAAGTTTTGAAGGAGGGTCTTGACTCCTGTAGTTAATGGGAAAATAACATTGAAACTAGATCAGCATTTCCAGTTATTNAAAACAAAAGAAAAATGAGCTTAATTAGTAAAGCAAAATGCTAGAACAGTTTATACTAATTCCTTTCATTACTAAACCTTGGGCTACTTTACCCAGAAATTCATTTTTTAAACATTTATTAGTTCCAGAAAGAGTCTCAATTGTATGTAAAAATTCAGTATACGATAAAGGCAGCATTTTACATTGGTAGAGAAATAAATTTGTCAATAAATGTTATTAAAACAACTAATTAGCAGTAAAAATTAGTAAGGCTTGACTCCTTAGAGCTTATTCCACAATAAAAGATAAAGATTTAAATAATGAAATATAATTTTGAGGGTGAGAAAGGTTTTTTCAAAGTTCTGACAACTTGAAGAAAATACCCATAGGCTTAATGACATAAAATTTTTAAATACTGCAAATTTTTTTCTAAACTATATTGAAATACAGAATCCACCTTAACAGTGGAAAAAATCCAGCTGGGGGATGAGAGAAAAATTACTAGACTGCTTTAGCCAAGTAGTAGATCTCTACAGCCTTCATTAATGTTCTTGCTGCCTCAGCAACAAATTTCTAGTTTAAATGTCAAATCTGAACCTGTTATATTACTCTGTTAGCTATTAAAATGTTATGAAATTTAACAGTATTATTTTTTAAATGCAACAGTCTTCTCTTAAATTTGTCCTCAATAATGTGCCTTTTACCCTTTTGCTCCAAAAGGTAACCTTCTTCTGAAAAGTTAAAAAATACATACGCTATCTATTTGAGACAGTGTGACCCAATAGAAATATAATAACCATAAATGCATACCACAAATCTATTTGTTTTAATTTTAGTAGTTACATTAAAAAAGGAAAAGATACAGGTGGAATTAATTTTAATATATTTGACTTAATCCACTATATCCAAAACATTAACATGCAATAAAGATTAAGTTGAGATATTTTACATCCTTCTTTTTCCATAATTAAGTCGTTAAAAATACAGTGTGTGTTTTTATTCACAGCATGTCTCCATTGGCACTAGCCCCATTTCAAGTGTCGCTCACAGACAAATGCGGCTGGTGGCTGTCATACTGCACAAGCAGATCCAGGACATTTTCATCATCACAGAAAGTTCTTTAGACAGTGCTCTTCGACACCATGCTTTTAGCAGCGGGTCAGAGAGAATAAAAAAAAACTGTAGAGAAAAAACTGTATGTCTATATAGTGAGGTCATGCCACACCCTTCTTACTTTCCACTCACTCCTTAAATCCACACAATCTAGCCTCAATGCCCACGCCCCACCCACTTTGATCAGGGTCACAATAAACTGGGAATGAGAATCTGCCCCCTAAGTCAGTCTCAGAGGGGCCACTTTTCTCCATCCCCTCTGTAATTATTCTAGTCTACCTACTCTGGTTATCTTTCACTTGGATTAATTTCAGTTTCCTAACTAGCTTTAGCCCTTTTCAATCCATTCTCTTCACTGATCTTTATAAAAGGCAAATCTTATTACGACATTCCACTATTTCTACTGAAAACTCTTCAAGGGCTCATAGAGTAAGTTCTAAACTCCTCAATGAAATTCAGTAACATGCAGCTCACTAGCAAACATCCTCTGCCCACAATGTATTTCTACTTAGTTCTTTTTTCCCTTAGAGGAGGGAGTCTCATTCTTTGATCTGAACAGAGAGCCAAGGATGACAAGACATTTGAAGGAAAGCCTTCAGCAGCAAAAGACCAAAAGAGAGAGGAAATAAGAACTTGGATGAATCACAGAAAACACAGATAAAGGAAACTTTCAGAAGAGCCATAATATCCTCAGAGATTTTAAAGAAGATATTACATCCATAAAACAAGAATGAGAAGTCACTATAAAAGATGAAACAAGGCTCCTGGAAATAAAAACCATCAGAACCATAAAAAAAAAAACCTCAACAGAGGGTTAAAGATAAGAAAGGTCAGAGAACGTAAATTATGTATCAATAAATCCGGGAAATAAACAAAATTCAGAAAGGCAGCGAAAAAGCCAGGCCGGTGTGGCTCAGCAGTTGAGCATCAACCCATGAACCTGGAGGTCACCGTTTGATTCCCCATCAGGGCACATGCCTAGGTCACAGGCTTGATCCCCAGTAGGGGGTGTGCAGGAGGCAGCCAATAGATGATTCTCATCATTGATGTTTCTATCTCTCTCGCTCTCCCTTTCTCTCTGAAATCAATAAAAAATATATATTTTTTTTTTTTAAAAAAAGAGTAGCCACCAAGGGATCCACATTCAACTTACAAAGTTTAGAAAAGAGGGCAGAAAATACAAGAAGTATAAGAAAACTTTCCAAAATAAAAAAAAATACATTTTCACATTGAAAGAGTGCATGCATAATGAATTTTTAAGGACCCACATCAAGGCAAATCACACAATATCAGAACACCAGGGACAAAGAGACAATCCTAAATGCTTCCAGAAAGGAAAAAGCAAATGTCATACGAAGAATAAAAATCAGAAGGGCACCAAACTTTAACTGCAACTGTATACTAGAGGACGATGGAGAAGCATCTTCAAAAATTCTACGGAAAGATAATTTAAATCTAACATTCTATTGCCAGTCAAATAAAACTAAACTGTCAAATAAAACTGAAGTAACATCCTCAGACATGCCAAGTCTCAAAACTGTTTCCTCCCATAAGGATGGAAGAAAAAATTAGCTCTAGAAAACAGAGGGCTGAAAGGAGTAAAAATGTGACAGGAAGTTATAGCAGAACCAAAACATAACCCATTCATACTGAAGCAAAAGGTGAATTTTAATGGAGTTAATGGAATTATATGATGTATTTAAACATTTGAAAATTAATACTAAGTTTTCTCTGATGGAGTATGTAATAAAAAAGGACAGCTACATAAAAAAACATTAAAAAGAGAATTATTAACTCTAGAAAAAAAAACAAAAAAAAGTACAAAGGAAAATATAACAGGATATAACTTAACTTTAAAGAAAACACTATTAACATAGCTGTGATAATATAAAACAGTCATTACTGCTTTGCCAAAACTTGTAATTCTAATAGAAAGATGGGGGTGGGGCACAGAGAAGATATGTAAGAGAGCCAAATAGGAATCTATTCTGATAGAGTAACCAGCATCTCAAATTGATTTACCAAGAGATGGCAGTATAAGTTTATTTAGAAATATGGAGGTAAATGCCAAAAGAAATAACTAAGAGAACTGTAGCAAGCTAAATGATGGCCCCCAAAAGGTGTTCAAGTCCTAACCCCCAAACCTAATCCCCATTAAGTCTTTGTAGACGAAATTAATTAGATCAGGAGATCTTCCTGGATTCCCCAGATGGGCGGGCCCTAAATGCAATGACATGCAAAGGAGAGACCAACAGGAAAGGCGATATAAAGAAAGAATAGAGAGAGATGTGGCTAGAAGCCAAGGAAAGCCTGGAGCCACCTGAAGATAGAAAAGGAAAGGAACAGAATTTCCCTTAGAGCCGTTAATGAGAACACAGCACACTTTGCCCTCCAGAACTGTGAGACAGTAACTACCTGTTGTTTTACGCCACCAAGTGTGTGGTACTTTGTGAAGGCAGCCCTAGGAAACTAATATAAAGACTGAAACTGGATGCCTCCCAGAAGTAGGACTAAGAAGTGAAGAAGGGTAAAGAAGACTGATTTTTTTGTTATAAGCCTTTTGGTACAATTTTATTTTGTAGCTACTATATACGTATTACCTTAATAAAATCAGTAATTACTTTTAAGTTCATAAATTAAATCACACTGGAGTATTTTTCCAAAAGACATATCAACTACCTACTTAAGATTACAAAAACAAGTAGACTGAAACAATAAGTCTATACAGGCAGGGAACGTGTCTCTTGGTCACCAATATATCCCCAGGGTTGAGCCCAACATATGGTAGACTTAAGCACTAAATAAATATAAGCTGTTGATAACCAACATAAACTGGTCTTGTTCTCACACAAAAAAGTATCAATATTAGTACCAAAAAACAGCATCAATATCTTTTAACTTCAAGTCTGGGCTCCATAATATTAATGCAAAATTACTTATAATTACTATAATTACTAGCAACCTATGTGTATACTTAATCAATAACTGTAAGAGAAGATTCTTAAGGTTTTTTTCCTCCATAATTCTATGGCTACACAATAAAATGAAACAAAATTATATTCTGCTTTATAGATTATCTAAAACAGTAATTTAAAAACTAATCCTATGTCAGCTCATTTGACTTTATTTTAAATGCCTAGACTAGATTTAATTTTAAGGACCCATGAGGAATATTTTCTGCTATGCTATGTTTACTTGGTATGTAACTTTTAAGAATCATGAATGGCTTTCTTTCCTATAGGATTATTACTCTCTATAGCATATCAATCAAAAAATGTTCCATTCTGGCCCTGGCCTGGTGGCTCAGTTGGTTGGAGCATCGTCCCATACACCAAAAAGATTGTGGGGTCAATTCCCAGGCAGGGCACAAACCTAAGTTGCGGTTGGTGCATGTATGGGAGGCAACTGATCAATGTTTCTGTCGCACACCAACGTTCTCACTCTCTCTCTAAAATAGAAATATATCCTTGGGTGACGGTTAAAAAAAAAGTTCCCTTCTGACCTAAAACTTTTTGGATTTCATTAGGACACTGTATAAAGGAAAAAGCAGTTTTGAAACACCACGGGCCCAAGAAGCACAATTGAAGTTACATCAAGGACTTCCAAATTATGGCTTTCAGAAGCAGCAAACAAAGTTTGGAGTCTTTCTGAATATGTGCAATGGCCAGTGACCATAACAACGAATTACATTACTCATTATGCACAAAAAGCCAGGAAACCAAGAATGAAAAAAAGATACAGAACCATGATTTAATAAAGACTTAACTATTAAAATCAACTTCCTCTTTAATTTCTGAAAGCTACTGGTAGAAACACTCCTCATTTTAGGCAGCACAAACTCTTCGATAAGGATATGTTACATAGCACTCCTCTTACCTTTCTTGTTAATAGACTTTTACGTCTCATTCCACAAGCCTCTAGTTGTAACCTTCCTCTTAATGCTAATTCAATTAACATACAGCCACGTAATCCAGATGATATACAGTCATTCCAAAATGATGTGTAACCCTATTTAAAAAAAGAAAACAAAATAGTTAATTTACTTTGAATTCTGAGTCAAAAATAGAAATATTTTTAGCCATTTGTTACCTTTTACTTCTCATGTCTTGCCATAATTATAATTTTAAATACGATATTGAAAAAATACAATTACTATACATTACTAATCTAGGATTTTCAGGAGCTTACTGTCTTTTCACCACTTATCCTTACATGCAGATAAATAACATTGGAAATCAGAGGTTTAAAAATACAGTCTCTTTCATTCTTCGTTATGTGTTTATTAAGCTCTTTCATATTGCAAGGACCAGGGCTCACCCACACAGTTAACCTCAGATTATAGTGGTTTATTATTAGTATACATGGGCAGGTGGCCTCAAGAAGAATGAGAATTATCATTCATACAATGCAGTTTAGGATAAAAATACAAAGTTAATTTTGGAAGGCAATATTAGAAAATTTATGTATGGGCTCACGCCTTAATGAATGAAAAACAGTAAAACAATCAGATGGGCCCCCAAAGCAAAATTTAAGGGTCACGTCCAAGGTGGAAGAAGAGCCAGCCAATGAGACTGATAAGACACCTAGGGATCTGGGGATACTCAAGTCAACCAGGCATCACCAGATGAAGTTGGGGCACTCTTTGAGAGTGAATAACCGGGGTTGTCCAAATTATGATGCCATGAACTTTGCGAGCAGGGTTGTCAGCTATCAATTTAAAGTACCAATTCTGGGGAGAAAGCAGAGGCTACAACCAGTTCTAGTTAAGAGTCAGAACAGGGTAACATAACATAATCTTGGCAGAAAGGAGAGCAGGAAAACTGATTTTCTAAAGAATGGAGGGCCTAGGATTAGGGAGGCCTAGACCCTTGGTTCTGGCACTTTCTCAAGGTCAGTCTTGGTACTTTGCCAGGTCACTGTGGTCAGTCAGCCTGTATTTCAAAAGATGACTGACCATCAGATCAGGGTCCTTGAGACTTCACTACTGACACAAGGACTTAGTCTAAGGAAGCTACCACCCCTGAGAATGAAGGCTTTGGGAAAATGAATTTAGATTAAAGGAGCGACAAGAGAATAAATAAAAATACCAGTTTAAAGAGGAAGACCTAAATATGAGGTAGGGAACCAGGCCAGAGTGGCTCAGTTGGCTGAGCCTCATCCTGTGCACCAAGGGGTTGTGGGTTCGATTTCCGGTCAGGGCGCATGCCTGGGTTGCAGATTAGATTCCCAGTTGGGATGCTTACGGAAGGCAACCAATCAATGTTTCTCTCTCACATCGGTGTTTCTCTTTCTCTCTCTCTCTCTCCAAATCAATGGAAAAATATCCTCAGGTGAGGATTAACAAAAAACAAAAAAAGAGCCCAACTGGTGTGGCTCAGGGGTTGAGTGTCAACCTATGAACCAGGAGGTAACGGTTCAATTCCCGGTCATGGCATATGCCGGGGTTGTGGGCTCAATCTCCAATAGAGGGCATGCAGGAGGCTACTGATCAATGTTTCTATCTCTCTCTCCCTCTCCCTTCCTCTCTCTAAAATCAATAAAAAAGTTTTTTTTCTTAAAAGTCATAATTTTAAAACAGAAAAAAAGCCTACACCTCATTTGAAGTAACTCCTTATTCNCTTAAAAGTCATAATTTTAAAAAAGAAAAAAAGCCTACACCTCATTTGAAGTAACTCCTTATTCTAGAATTTAGCATTTAAAAGATTTATCCTGCCTTTCAAGTGCATAAAAATAACATACACAAATAAGATTATAAAACAAATCACCGAAAGTTATTAGTGTTAAAAATAAACAAATGTGTGATGATGATAATGTTTCTTTATTAGCACATTAAACAAACAAGTAATAACTACTGTAATCCCAATGTAGTGATGAGCAGACAGTAATGTATCTACAATAATTGTAACGTGATACAAAAATATCTCTGGTTTCTATTGGTGACAAACTCACAAGTATTGCTAATACTACTTTGGCTTGCTGCCTACATTCATAATTGAAGCAGATGTTAACTTTCAATTACAGGTCATTAAAAATAAAGAAGTTATTTTTCCCCAGTCACGTGCTTTACCCCAAATTTTACCACAAATCCAGGCTAAGAACCTCCATTCCATTCCCTGGGAACCTGGGTATCTATCAGCTTTGAACCAAGACCCTCTCTGTTAGTAACCAATCCAAGTAATAAATTTAATCCATGTACAATTCTTCCTCAGTGTTGTGGAGATTCCACTCCCACGCCTCCCTCCTTTCTCCACATCAGTCCCCTGCATCTACTCTCATCTCCTGCCAGCACAATATTTACTGAGCACTCACTATGTGCCAAGTACTATTCCAAGTACTAAACATGTAGTAGTTCATTTAAAACTTCACAACAACTTTCTGAGGTAAGTACTATTATCACTCCCAATTCAAAAATATGGAAAAATCCCAGAGAATACCACTTCGACTACACTCTTTCCAATTTACTAATGGCATTTTCTATTTTTCTTCCACTGCATTCACCAAGCAAAACTCCAACCCCAGATCAATCCATCTGTCCACTTTCTCTTTTTCTGTACCTATACTTCTAAACTCCTGGTGGGGGGGGGAAATATCTTTCAATCGCAGTACAACTTAACCTAAGCCCTCAATGANAAAAAATATCTTTCAATTGCAGTACAACTTAACCTAAGCCCTCAATGATACCTGGCAAAACCTTCTGTTTNGGAAATATCTTTCAATCGCAGTACAACTTAACCTAAGCCCTCAATGATACCTGGCAAAACCTTCTGTTTCACTAGTCAAAGCTCTTACCACTCTCCACTGCAGCTATTTCAAACTCCATTCCCCTCACATTTCCAAACTTGGCTCATTTTCAGCAGACGACTTCATAGGGAGCAAACACCATCGGACAGGAGCAGCGTGAACTTTCAGCAATGAACCAAACCAATATATTCAACTTCATCCATATATCTGATTACAGTAGGAAAACTGTCAGAGGCTAATCCTTCTACCCATTTTCTCCCACCTCAAGGACCTTTGCTTACAACTGCTGCCTCCCTAAAATACCTTAAACCTCTAGCATATACACTAATACCCTTCCTAGTGATGTTCAAACATCCTCAAATTTTCATTACGAGAGAGAGACACAGACCAACCCTGCCCTATATCCCTCCTCCCATTCGCCCCAAACTCATTGACAATATAGTAAAAAAAATAAGTCTCCACCACTTCCCTTTCACTTCCCAACCCATGCAATCTGATACAGCTCTCAACAGGACCGATCTTAATAAGTAACTGCCCCACATCTGATACTGCTGACATTCCAGTCGCCCCTGGCTTCCCTAAGACCTCTCTCCCATCTTCCTCGACAGCTCCCGCTCACACTTTTTTACAGCATATTCCTTAAGTGTAGTGCCCAATGACCTCTTCTTATCTCACTTATATACTCTTCCTGAGCCATCTCAGTCACTATCACTTTTTTAAAATTTCAAATAGAAGTATATAAAAAAAACAAGTCCCTACCTCCTCCCCCCACTCCTTCAAGGGCAAGCTCCTATAAACATTTGAAATATACACTCCCAAATCTTTTTTTCTCCAGTGTGCACAAGTCATAGTCTGCCATATACCAAATATCTACTGTATGTTAAAACTGGACTAAACATTTGATGTGCATCAAATCTAATCTTTAGAAGGCCTGTAAAGCAGGCATTATTCTTCTATTTTCACAAGATACTGGAAATGAGGCTCAGGGGAATTAAAGGACTACCACCATTACTGAGTGGCAGAGCTGGAACTGAAACCGGACTCCCTACCTCCAAAACCCTGGCTCTATTATTGTGTCTTGCCCCCCAAAACTTAGTTTTTAGTGGGTGATCTAGGTGTGTTTTCTTTCAGCCCCATGAAAACGAAAGGGAATATTACTCATTTTTCTTTCCATACCTGCCATTGATCACTTCACTGCAGAGAGCAGAAACTGACTTCCTCTCAAGCAAATGAGCCTTTTAGATAAAGTGCCAAAATATACTCTTTTGGAATTTTAAAAAGTATATTTAACAGCATCTTATTAACAAGACCTAACTATACCCCGTAGTCTTTTTCTTTCTTTCTTTTTTAAATCTTTGCCGAATGGAAAAAATCCATTGCTTTTCGGCGGGGGGGAGAAACATGTATGTGAGAGAGACACATCGATTGGCTGCCTCCTGCACGAGCCCTGACCGGGACCAGGGACTGAGCCTGCAACCAAGGTGCGTGCCCTTGGCCAAAATCGAACCCAGGACCCTTCAGGCCACAAGCTGACGTTCTAACCACTGACCCAAACTGGCCAGGGCTATACTCCCATAGTCTTAATTCTTCTCTAGGAAAAATGAAAGTTCTGCTTAATAAACACAACACAACTTCACAGTTCAGTTTGCAAAGCCATTTTCACATATATAAATTATCATCTCATCTCAAAATAACCTAGTAAAATATCATCACTTTATATTTGAAGACTCTCAAGTCTAGAGAAGTTAAGAATTATGACCACATTCACACTCCAGAATCAGAAGTCACACCTCACACCACAGTGCTGTGACCCTAGATAAAGTGCTTTTACCACCACCTCAAAATGTCAGTATTTTGAGGACATTTTGAAAAGTATATAAAGAAAGTATGTAAGTTTCCTATCAAATCACCATAACACAATTCCTACACATGATTTTCTAGTAGAAAACCAATTCTATTTGGGAGGCAGAGGCACAAAGTTGCAAAAAGTAAAACACATAATTCTTTTAAATTCCTAAAATAAGAAAATATCATTTTAACCCAATGAACATCTTTTAATAGAGTGCCAAGCAGAAGTGATAAAAATGACCAAGATACAAGGCACAGAATGAAAAGAAATAATTCAATATGATAATTATCATAATACTGACATGAATAAATGGCATTCGTTCATTTCTCATTCCAAAACATGCTGCTATGAACTGAACTATCCCCCAAAATCTGACATTAAGCCCCCATGTGATGGTATTAGGCACCTTTGGGAGATAATTAGGTTTAGGTGAAATCATGAGGGTGACACCAGAGATT